CTCTCTCTCTCTCTCTCTCTCTCTCTCTCTCTCTCTCTCTCTCTCTCTCTCTCTCTCTCTCTCTCTCTCTCTCTCTCAGTCTTCTTCTTCGTCGTAGTCTCCTTGCAGGTGCGCGGCGGCTTCCCCAACCTCACGTCCGCTATGGCGGACTGTGTTCCTCGGTGGCCACCTTTGCTTTGGCGCCTCAGTACCTGCACACGACGGCGCGCATGGAATAGCGGGTACCAGCTCCGATGCCAATGCATTCAGACTCGTCTCATTCACACTTTTCATGCGTGTAAACAGCAGCACAGCAAACTGGCGACATGCACCCACACAATACTCAGAGATATGGCTTCCAGGTAAGAGTTCACTTCCATTGGCTATGGCGACTCAGCGCCCAACAACCCACTGTTCACACAGACCGGACCACCCTGGATATCCCACACGCGACACTCTGAACACTCACAGAACACACCCACACTTCGCCCTAAGCTACAGCTATGGCAGCGCTGGCTGCCTCTACCCTATCGCTATGGTTACACTTCGTCACTCTTGCCCACTTCGACTCCGGGCCTGCTGCAAACCTCCTCGCACAAGACGTTGAGACAGCGCTTCCGCATGGCTTCCGCAGGAATGAATGAATGGCTGTGCGCGACCTCTTGATTTATACTCCTGTGACTCGTTGGTCTGCCCTGTTTCCCTGGCCCACAGTGGACACAGTCCCAGGCGGTACTTGCTTGACTCGACCGAACTGGCTGGGACTGCTGACTCTGCACGGTGGACTTCCACCACTTGCCCACTTGCCTCGACCTACAGTGGGATGATTCCGAAAGGCCACTTCTAGAAACGTCTACTTGGCCTTTCGGTACTGTAGCAGCTACGACTCTGCCCTTTCAGGTAAGTAGCAGCTACGACTTTGACCCTTCGGAAAGCCTACAGCTAAGACCTCTGGRCTGTCTAGACTCCTACCCRACAGGTCTACAGTTCGAATCCCCTATACCCTGTAACCTACGATGTCCTACCTACCACTGGCGGTCCTACAGGTCGCAGGTTCAACTCTACGGGTTGACGCAGGTACTGTACACAGGTAAGGTGAGGAACTAGGGATCGCGCCCTGGGATCTGCATCAGCTACTGCGAACTGGTGAATACCGTTTCAGTGCCATGTCAGCAACAGTGCCACGTCAACAGTGCCACATCAGCAGTGCCACGTTAGCAACAGTGCCACGTCAACACTGCCACATAAGCAGTGCCACGTCAACAACACTGCCAGGTCAGCAGTGCCACGTCAGCAATACCACGTCAGCAACAGTGCCACAGTGCCACGTCAGCAGTGCCCCGCCACCATGACGAGCTCAGCTCCAACTGGCCAATGAGTCCATTGTCGAGTACCGACAGCATTTCGAAGCTCAACTCGCACTAATCACGGTTGAGGAACAGCGCCAGCTGGCAGCCGAGGTTGTCCGCCTGCAGGCTGAAGCGGCGGCAACAGTTGAAAGGCAGCGACTTCCAGCCGAAGCTGAAGCAGATACCCAGGCATGCCGCAAAGAGGCCCAGGATCTGTTACAGCGGCATGAAGCCACCAGCATTGAAAAGCTCAAGTTTTGGCATTTTGAACCATCTGAGCAGCACGACGACGCGACGCCAGAGGAGCAGCATAAGGAATTCATGGCCAAGCTCATGACCAGGTTGGTTGACACTTGTAACCACCTGCAGTCCGAGCTGGCGAACCTCCAGCGGGCCGTACGGAACCACAAGGCCCAGCATGAGGATGCAGCACGGGCACTTGATTCCCGTCTATAGGACTTGGAGCAAACTGCACCAAGACCGGAGGCTGGCGAGACCAGCAGTGCACCCTCTGCCCGCCAACTGGAGGAACAAGTTGATCACGTAGTCGCAATGCTCGACGACATCAGTACCTTCGCTGCACCAGCCACCATCAGCAAGCAGCTGGACACCTTGAAGACCGAGGTTCAGCAACTGCACCAGCTGCCTAACAACATCACGTAGCATTATAAGATGCCAACATTCCAAATCGAGAAGTTTGATGATTTCAAGCATCAAGACCCGGTCATCTGGTGGGAGAGCTTTACGCCGCAACTTCGGATCCTGTTCGTCGCCAAGCACGCGTACATCGGCACACTGTTCCTCAACTCAAAGGGCGGATGCCAGATCTGGTTAAGCCACCTGGCAACCGTCCACGGCGTCGACGTCGCAGATCTGAAAAATAAGATCTCTTGGGAAGAGTTAACACGACTATGGAAGAAGCGGTTCATCGTAGACGACGCCCCGACGCTCGCCATCAACCACCTCTTCGCTATGACGCAAGGCAACACAGCAAAACGCGACTGGCTCACGGAATGGAAAAAGATCGCGGCACGCCCGATCTAGAATTGCCATTTTCGCATCTGCGCCGAGAGTTCTACAACTGGTCATGTGCCGCCTTGAGCCTTGCACTTGGTGATCGCGAGCAATACGCAACCTTCGCTGAAATCATCGACAAGGCAAGGGAGATCATCAAGACCAATAGGGCAGCTGCACATGAGAAATCAGCATGGCAGCCAACCTATGTGGAGAAGGTGAAAACTGGTCCGCGGCCGCAGCATGTCGCTGCAGTCCAATCGGACAACATTGTGGAAGACCCGGCAGCCACCCAAGCGTCGCGTGAGGCAGATCAGGTGGCTGCTGACCAGCCGCGAAGCAACAACAAGTCCCCAGGAAACAGGAAGGCGAAAACCGCATCGCCAGCTGGAAACGGACAGCCGGCACCATGGGTCAAGTTTCACTTGACCGAGGCGGAATACAAGTGGCGCGGCCGCTACGGCTGCTGCTATTGGTGCAACAGCACCAAGCACAAGACCTCCCAATGCCCGGATCAAGGCAAGGAGGATGTTCGGCCTCGTAACAACTCGGGAAACTGAGTTCCGAGGGAGGTGAGGCGACTCCACCTCTCACTCCGCCAGATTCGGCCGCCTTGCTAGCGGCCTCCTACAAGACTTGAAGAGCTCGACCCGTTGACGTTTGCGGACTTCCAATGGATGCCCCTTCCCCGGTCCGGTCGATTGCCGAAACCTCATTGCAACGTGCTCATGGCACAACTGCGGGATTACTTGCACACTGCAGTACCAACTCCGTTGATGGACGCCAGAGTAGAGGTTGTTGACCTTCACAATTACATTGCGAAGATCGACCGCGAGTTCAGGACACAACGGTACGACGACATCGACGCACCATTGTTATATGTGCACATTCAGATCGGAGAGGCGACCTGCAACGCTTTGATCGATTGCGGAGCATCTCGCAACTACATGAGCCAGGACTTTATGGTACGCGCCGGCCTTGGCCCACGCATGTGGAGGAAGTCCCAGCCTACGCAAGTCACGTTGGCAGACGGTCACACGCACAAGTCAATCGACCGGGGCATTGATGACGTCCCCGTGTACTTCGCACCCGCATGCAAGCGAGGCGGTGTCCTTCGATATTTTGGACACCAAATTCGACATGACCTTGGGCATGTCATGGCTGCGAAGCGAGGATCACCCGGTGAACTTCTACTGCTGCACCGTTCACGTTCGTGATCGGAACGGAGTACTAGTCCCATGCACGGTACCTCCTCCTCACCCTTCGATCAACTGTCACGTGGTGTCCGCCGCAAGCATGCGAGCTTCCATCATCAGAGACGACATCGAGGAGATGGGGGTGTGCTTTCTCCACGCCCTCCCGCCCCATGACGCTTCATCGACGGACTCATCTTCCGACCCACGCATCACCGAGCTTCTCGACGCCTACGGCGACGTGTTCGAAGGCCCGCACGGAGTAGTACCGGATCGGCCCATCCGCCATGACATCATCCTCGAGCACAGGGTTGTACCTCCGCGTGGTTGCATCTACCGAATGAGCGAGGAAGAGCTAAGTGTGCTACGGGCACAACTCGACGACCTTCTTGAGAAAGGCTGGATTCGGCCTAGCTCCTCGCCATACGGTGCTCCCGTTCTCTTCGTCCAGAAGAAGAACAAGGATTTGCGGTTGTGCATCGATTATCGCAAGCTCGACACGCAAACGGTCAAGAACGTCGGCCCTCTTCCGCGCATCGACGACCTTCTCGAACGGCTAGGCGGCGCCAAGTTTTACTCCAAGCTCGACCTCAAGTTGGGATATCACCAACTCGAGATTCGGCAAGAGGACCGCTACAAGACCGCATTTAAGACGCGATATGGGCATTTCGAATGGCTGGTTATGCCGTTTGGCCTTACGAATGCCCCAGCCACTTTCCAAGCGGCTATGACAATGGAGTTCCGACACATGCTGGATCGATTCGTACTTATCTACCTCGACGACATTTTGGTGTACAGTCGGAGTTTGGACGACCATGTGGAGTACCTGCGCACCGTTTTGGAGCAGCTACGACAAGCCAAGTACAAAGCCAACTGCGACAAATGCGAATTCGCATGGCAGGAGCTGGAGTACTTGGGACATTATGTGACGCCGCAAGGCATCCGTCCGCTTGCGGACAAGATCGAGGCCCTCCGCGTATGGCCCGAGCCCACCAACACCACGGACGTCCGTTCATTCATGGGGTTGGCCGGCTACTATCAGCGATTCATCACCGGGTACTCAAGAATTGCTGCACCTATGACGAGATTACAATCGCCAAAGGTGCCATTCGTATTCGATCACGACGCACGCCGGTCATTCCAAGCACTTAAGGCCATGCTCATGGCACCCGTCCTTAGCATCTATGACCCCACCCTGCCTATGAGAGTGACAACTGACGCTTCCGGCTATGGCATTGGGGCAGTCTTGGAACAACACGACGGCGACGACTGGCACCCTGTGGAGTATTTCAGCGACAAAGTGCCTCCCATTAATTCGCTTGATGATGCAAGGAAGAAGGAGCTGCTTGCGTTCGTGATGGCTCTCAAGCGATGGCGGCACTTCCTCCTTGGGCGTCGAAGGTTCACATGGGTCACGGACAACAACCCATTGACCTACTACAAGACGCAGGATACGGTGAGCAGCACGATCAGACGATGGATGTACTTCATCGACCAATTTAACTTCACACCGAAACACCTCCCCGGCCTCTCCAACCGCGCGGCAGATGCACTCTCGCGAATACCCGATCTTTGCGCTATGACACATCATGCCTTCGCATTCGACGAGGAACTCCAACGACACTTCATCCGGGGCTATGAGTCTGATCCGGATTTCGCCACGTTGTATGCGCAACTTTCTTCGGATCACCTGCCGGCCAGCCAATATCGCATCGCAGACGGGTACTTGCTCCTCCAAACGAGAGGCAAGGACTTATTGTGTGTCCCACACGACCGTCGTTTTCGCACTCGCCTTCTTGGTGAGTACCATGACTCGCGACTCGCCGGCCATTTAGAAGTCAATCGCACTATTGCACGGCTTCGACAACGATTCCGATGGCCCGACCTCATTACCGATGTCACTCGGTATTGCGACTCTTGCGAAGTTTGCCAGCGAAGCAAGCCCCGCAATCGCAACCCCTACGGTGAGTTGCGCCCGATGCCTATCCCATGGGAACCCGGCCTCTCCATTGCCATGGATGTCACCGGACCATTTCCCCGCAATCGCCTCGGGCACGACGGCATCCTCACGGTTGTGGACCGTTTGAGTAAGTATGCGCGTTTTCTCCCTTGCAAGTACTACTCCACGGCTCCCGAGCTGGTACGCCTCTTGCACACCGGTTGGATTTGCGGCCACGGTGTACCAGAAGACATAGTCAACGACCGCGACACTCGCTTCATATCGACATTTTAGACTGCTCTCATGCAGGAGTCCGACACGAAGATGAAACCAAGTTCGGCTCGGCATCCACAAACGGACGGGCAAACGGAGCGGGCACATCAAACCGCTCAAATGATGCTGCGTACGCTCATCCGTCCGGATCAGAAAGATTGGGTTGACCGCCTCCCCGACATCGAGTTCGCCTACAACACTTCGGTGCACCCGGTGATCGGCGTGACTCCATTCGAGTTGGACCACGGTGAACGGAAAGACCGTATCTTCGCCGATCTGCTCCTCCCACGACCAGCCGACATCGACGCCGCTTGCTCTCCCACTTCCGTCCGGAAGTACAGGGCATTGCTGGCTCAAGCCCGCACGAACATGCAAAAGGCTCAAGTCCGCATGCAGCAGCAAGCCAATAGGCGTCGCGTGCCATGTCCCATCCGCGCCGGTGATCTGGTTTGGGTCTCCGCGGAAGAGTTTGCACTGGAACAGGATGTTTCACGCAAACTGCTTCCCAAGTGGTTTGGACCATGGCCTGTAACATCAGCCGCGGGCAATGAGCCCGATGGCCCTTCATTTGTGATCAACATCCCTCCGCATCTGACGGTCCATCCAGTCTTTCACGCCTCAAAGTTGGCGACATACACACCAGCTAAGAGCGACGACTTCCCGGGCCGACGATCGCAGGACCCTCCTTCTATGGATGGTCATCAGGAAGTTGACCGCGTCATCACGGATTGCAAGTACGGCAGCAAGCCTCGATAGTACAAAGTTACATTCAAAGCATGTGATCCCGACGACACTCTGTGGATTTCAGGAACAGATTTGAAAGCATCCGCACCGCTGATCTACGCTCACTACGAGCGACAAAGGTTAGCTCAGGGACCTTCACGACCTGCCCCTCCCACCCGGACTGTGGTCCCTCCCTCAGACAGACAGCTTCGCCATCTGAAGTAAGATCGGTCTTTCAAGGAGGGGGGGGTGTGGCATACTGCGTAGCCACACGGGCCTGCAGGGCCCGTCCCGCATTCTCAGCCTAAACCCCTAGAAATAAGGGCTTACAGGCCCCGTGTGGTTTCAGCCTGAAAGACTGAAAACGAGGGCCTGCAGGCCCTATGTCGTTTCAGCCTAAAACAGGGCTTTTCAGCCCTGAGGCTTTTCAGCCTGAAACGGAGGGCCACTTTCGGGCCCTCGTAAGATCGACCTGCCCTAACACTCAGGCTATCTTTAGCCTGTTCCCACGAACAGCCTCAGCAGGAGCTGCAGCGGCAGCCCCTGGCTCCCTTCGGCATTGGCAAGAGCAGCCTCCTAGACTGCCCCGCCCTGCAGCTGCAGGCAGTCAGGAGGCAGGCCGAGTAGTACATAGGGAGTTCCCATGCACTTCACGGGGAGGTAGTTGGACAGAAGGCAGGAGTAGCCTTCAGGATTCGGCCGCAGCACTCTGGAGGAGCACTGCAGGAGCATCTTAGCGCTAGCAGTAGTCTTCAGCGCTGGGCGCTAGTAGCCATAGCAGTAGTCTTCAGCACTGGGCGCTAGTAGGTGGTAGTAGTAGTGTTGGGAGAGATGGCTGGCGGAGGCCAGTGAGACTTACCTGTGGCGCCATAGCTACAGCTCCATCTTCGAGGTACCTGCATCAAGGCGCCAGCTTCACAGGTTAGTACTGGACACAGAGAGAGAGAGAGTTCTTCTTCTTCCTCTTCTAAGTCCACCATCTCTTCTTCACCCTCTCACTACCTGACTTCTCAGTATCAGCGGACTACGACAGAGAGAGAGAGAGTTGTGACTTGAGACTTGACGACATTGGATCCAGACCCGACATTGGGATTCAGACATTTTGACGAGGGACTATTTGGGCCTGTGCCGAAGACTTGGTGTTGACGACATTCCCATCTTCCCCTCTTCTTCGTCTAACCCCCCTCTTCTTCGTCTGTGTATGGTTGGGGCTGGCGCATTCTTCCTGTGTGAGCGCCATACCCCTTCACGTGATGATGATGATGTATGTTCGGGGCTGCATTGCAATATTGATTGTTCGGATCATTGGTATCTAAGTCTTCCGCTACGCTATCTTGTACTTTGTATTGAGAGGTCGGTTCTTGTTCTGGTCTGCACCGTTACAGTATGCAACAGTAAGTCTTGACTACATACAGTCAGTCACCCATCCATCCATCCATCCATCCATCTAAAAGGGCCTTTACGAATTGGACCCCAGATGAGTACCCCAACAGCAAGGGGCTCTGTCGGGCAGAACTAAATTCACGAGCAGCAACTCGAAAGACAAAGTTCCCTGAGGTAAAAGTCACATCCATAATGAAGTGGTAAGTCATTTTGAAAGGTCACAACAGGTCCTGAACGAACAGGTATTGGACACAATTTTCAAGACTGAGTTAGGGTCATGTCTCCTCGATGAAAAGACATGTCTGTTCGGCAATGAGTCAAAGGCTACAGTCCCAGTCCAGTCATAATCCCACGAGTCGGTCCTGATTCAGACCAGGAGTCCAAGAGACAGGCCCGATGGCCCAAAGCAGCAGCAGCAGACCATGGGAAAAGATACAGGGACACACTTTGCAACAATCGGTACTGGGCAGGAGTCCCAGGCACATTTGAGGCTGAATGCAGGCCACGCCAGACCAGTCCAGCACTATAAAGGACTGGCCAGCCTCCCATTTGGACAGATGCTCACTTCGCATGAGAGTGTGCACGTGCCGTGGCACTTGTGCGCTAGATGTGTGTGAGCTGCGCCAGGCTGAAGAGCAGCGCTATGTGGGAAGGAGGAAGAGAGTGCTGGCTAGAGGGAAGGCAGCCATAGTTGCGCCAGCACTAGTTAGTATGTTAGTAGCGATAGTCAGTAGGAGATACCAGTGAGTAGTATTCAGAGTAGATCCTCGTGTGATAGGGAGTGTGCATGCATGACAAGTGAGGGTAGACCAGGACTATAGACATAGAGGGAGAGAGAGAAGAAGGCAGACAAGAGAGGGGGAAGTGAGAGCTACAGTGATACTTACCTGTTGAGCGCTGTTGACATCTGGCAGCTGGCGCTGATGACCGCCAGGCTTGGAACTCATGTTGAATGAAGAAGACTTGTAACTCTGTTCAGCGCAATACATTTTGAGCTCACGAGGTTCTCTCTCTAAATCTGGGTTTGATAATTGAGTTGAGCTTCCTGGTTCTCATTCATCTTCTATTGGGTTTTGTATGAGACTTCGTAATCTGTGAAATCAGTGTATATGCATGTGATCTGATGCACTCGAGCAAGTGATGAACAGTCGGGTTCCTTGCACATCCATCCATCCATTTTACCCACCCGCTGTCCAAAACAAGCACGCATGCATGCATGCAGGATATAATCCCCTCCTTTTCTCCAAAAAATATCCCTTGTCAGCTGCGCCTATGTAAAGTGCACTACTTACCTCAATAAGGATGCATATGAACTCTTCTGTGTTGCAATCCGCTGCATGCGACTCTATCTATATATTCATCAGATCACACACACACACACACACACACACACACACACACACACACACACAGAGCAAATGAGTGTTGAAACGGGGCGTACATACTGTGAAGCTGTGTGAACCATTTTCACCCTAAACCCTACATCCCGACTTCTCCAGTACTGTTGCCTTCCACTTGGGATGGTTCCTCCTGAGATTATTCTTTCTTCTTCTTTTTGATAATAACCAATAATTATTATTTAACCATGTGTTCAACATTTTGAGATGATCCCGATGAACATACACATGGGTTACGAAGCAAAAGAAGCAATTAGGATCTCAAGACTCGCAAAGACAGCATGCAAATGACAATCAACTCGACGACGCCAATCGACAACACAAGTCGAGGATAAACGCACCGCTGTCAAGGAGTAATACAGATTTCAAGGAAGCATAATACTCGGACTGTGCCGACCCGACGCAATGCTGGGGTTGGGGGGGGTGTCTGTGATGTGGCACAGATGCTCTTTTTTTTTTTTTTTTTTTTT